AAAGTCATTTGAAGTCAACAGGCCTTTGGAACCAGGTTATACTGATTAGTAATAATGATAATTAAGCACTTTCACCTAAGAAATAATCTACTAATTCGGAGTGTCTTTTTTTGGCATTTGAAAATGTCTATCAATCCAAATTCCTCCCTAATTACAAATTAGCTTTTAGCTAGTTCTTAATGACAAAGGCTGAGAACAATGTGTTAAGAAAAAATGAATTTTTAAAGATTATTTTGGAAAAAAACAGACCCATGCCTGTAATCACAGCACTCGGGAGGCTGAGGCAGGAGGACACAAGTTTGAAGCCTCCCTGAGATACATAATGAATTCAAGGCAGCCTGAACCACACAAGAAATCCCGGGGGGGGGGGGGGCTAGGAAAAATCAGATTTCGGGATATTCTATTAAGATGTTCAGGCTAGAAATCCAATACAAATTAGGGTTCCCTTTTAAGAATCAAGAAAATCATAAATCTACTTTTAAAAATGAACACATTTGTTTGCTACTCACTTTAACATACAAAGGATACTTAATCCCCTTTTTGTACACTAGTGCACACTGCATTAAAAGGAAGATGGGGCTGGAGATGTAGCTCAGAGGTAGAGCACTGGCCTGGCAGAAGCCAGTTCTGTGTGCCGTCTCCAGCACCAAAAGAAAAAGAGAAAGAGGAAAGGGAAAGGATGTTTTTCCTCTTTGATTCTGAATACTGTCAAAAGGTAGGTTTCGGGAATCTTACTCAACAGGCAGGTGTGATATGACGGGAATTAGTGTCCACACATCCAGATCCCACTTTGCCAACTACATACATTTTGGGATGACTGGATATGTTACTAAATCAGTATGTTTCAGCTTTTTCGTCTGTAAAAATGAGAACGCATAACTGTAAGGAGTCATTTAGATAGCAAATATGAAAGAAGGAAGGATGGTGGCAGGCCCATAGCAGGAACACAATAAAATGCTAGCTCATAAAAGCGAAAAGGGCAACACAGTCAGCTGGAGACCTGTAAAATCTAATCTGGCTCAACTTCTGGCTATATGACCATTTTCTCCTAAGGGACGGGAAGTCAGCACCTGGCTCTTAGTTATAGCTATAGACAAGTAAAAATTCAAGACAGAGAACAGAGGAAAGTGAAGAGAGGCAAAAACAGATTTATAATGGCAAGGTTGAGGTCAAGAAGTGTATTTTACTCATATATCTTTTAAGGTCAACAAAGCTCTTAGGAGAGAACACTGTATAGAAGAATATCTTCTTGACCTCTGGGTAGGAAAAGACTCTTAAAATAAGACACAAAAAGCCCAAACCATAAAGAAAAGACCAATAAATTTGACTCCATTAAAATTAAGAACTCCTGTTCATTAAAAGACATCATAAAGCAAGTCAAAGAGGCAAGGCAGAGAAAGGAAAGGATCTGCAACATACACACAGGACAAAGGACTTGTATTCACAGTAAATAAAGAACTTCTAAATACCAATAAAAGACACAAGGACCAATTAAAAGTGTGTGTGGCAAGGGGTCTGAACAGGAACTTTAAGAATAAGGAAACACAAATGGCTAATAAATACATGAAAAAGCTGTTCAGCGGGATTACTAATCAGGTAAATGCTGGAGGGAGCACAACTTGGTAAAAAAACTTGGGAAAACAGTTCTACTGGTGGATACAATCTATGAAGAAAAGCAGACCTATAATGAAGGGGACCACATGAGCATCCAAACCTAGACACTTTGAGAATTAAAGATGTTGTAAATACAATGGGACAGGGTAATTACAATAAATGATCATCCTGCCTATGAAAACAACTTCTTTCCTAGATGCACACCTTAGAGAAACATGTACACATGGGCCCCACATGCCATGGATAAGAATACTCAAAGCAGCTTTGTTCACTGTTTTTTTGTGTTGTTTTTTTTTTTAATCAGTACCGGGGATCGAACCCACGACCGCCTGCTTGCAAGACAGGTGCTTATGCCGCTGAGCTAAATCCCCAGCCCTGCTTTGTTCACTGTTGCCCCAAAGTGGGAACCACAATATACAGCAGCAATGGAATAGACTACCTGAGAATTATAGTATACTCTCCTTCTCTAGTCTACTAGAAAACACTTAAGAGAACCATGGGTATCGTGCTTAGGAAACACAAATTAGGGCATGATAGATAAATATTCCTTAATCCCATTTTTCCCGTCCATGCACCACTTAACCATTCCACAAGCAAACTCTGACCACTATAACACACACATTCCTACTTTCATAACATTCTTTTTCTCTCAAAACAAATGCACCAGTGCTTATGTACGTGGAAAAGCAGGATATCTTCAGAGAACCACAGAATCGAGAACCAGATCACTTAAGTCTTGTTCTAACTGGCAAACGGAAGTCAGTAAGTTTCTCAAACACATTAAAATTACTTATCAGGAGCCCAACAGGGTTGGCCTAAACCTGTAATCCTGGCCCTGAGAGGCTGAGGCAGGAGGATCACTGCAAGTATGAGACCAGCCTGGGCTACAAAAGCGAATTCAAGGCCAGCCTGAACTGCACACTGAAACCCTGCCTCGAAGAGCCAAAAAAAAAAATTACTTATCAAACTTCTCCTGCTTTCCATTACTCACCCTGCTTACCTTTCGTTCACATTACACCTCCCAGCTGACACGCTCCAAACTGCGTTGGCAAGAAATGCATGAAATAAACACATGCTGCCTGGGGAAGGACATATATTCACTCTAATCAGAGGCCCAGGCCTGGCCAGTAAGCAAAACTTCTGACCACCAACCATCACCATCAGCCAGTCAACCAAAAAGCAGGTAGTCCAGGCTGGTCTTGAACTCAGTGTCCTGCCTGTGTGCTGGCACTTCAAGTGTGCCCTCAGGTAAGAATTTTATCCTTTCTGAAATATTCTTTTTTGTTGTTTCAGTACTGTGACCCAACGTAGAGCTTCATACATACCAGGTACGTACTCTATAATTAGCTAAATCCCTAGCCCTATTTATTTTTAAAACAGGATCTCAGGCTGGGCATGGTGACTCACACTTGTAATCCCAGCATTCACAAGGCTGAGGCAGGAGGACTGATGCAAGAGACCAGCCAGGGCTACAAAGTGAGTTCAAGGCCAGCCTGAAATGCATAGCAAGACCCTATCTGAAAGACCCAAAAAGGGGTTGGAGACATAGCTCAGTGGCACAGCGCCTGCGTGACAAGAGGTTATGAGTTCAATCCCCAGTACAAAAAAAAAAAAAAAAAAAAAAAAAAAAACAGGATCTCATTGAACTGCCCAAATAGCCTTAAACTTGGGATCCTGCTGCCTCAGCTTCTCAGAGTAACTGAGATTATAGGCATGCATCACAGTACGCAGCCCTTTCCTTAAAAGCGAAAAACAAGCCAGGCACCGTAGCACAAGCCTGTAATCCTAGCACCTGGGAGGCCGAAGCAGGAGGATCCCCAGGAGTTCAAGATGAGCCTGAACTACATAGTACATTCAAGGTCAGCCAACCTGAATTACAGAACAAGACGTGTAAGGAATTTATGAATAAGGGGGAAAAAAAACATTTTATTTCAGTGTCATGCAAGAAAATCTAGGGTACAAAAGACAAGGGAGAAATGTATTTTAAAAAAAAAACTTTATTGCAACACCACAAAACAAACTATCCTGATATAATTAATTCCCACTTGATACCTCCACTCCTAAGCATTTATGCTCTTGAACTACTATACAGCTTGCCTTTCCTTGTACCTCCACCCCAAATACACTTCTTGTTTGTTAGTTCACTTTTCCCATTTCCCACATTTATAACCTTTATCGCTTACCCCTTCATAATCTCTAATATTCTCACATCCCAACACTCTCTCCCAACTTCTGGGCTTCAAGTCTTTCACCGCATATAGGAAGCCATCTGTTATCTAGCCTCTCCTGTCTTCACCCCTCATCCCCCACTCCCTGCATTCTGTAGACACCAAAGTACCAGCAACCCAAAAAAATACAACGTCCTTCCCCAAGGTAGCCTTGTCTTTTCTTGAAAAACTGGACACTCCTCCACCTTCAAGACTCAAGTTTCATCTGGCTAAGGAAAACTCTGTTTCCCGAAATTTCTTGACCTCCGCGCACGGGGGACACAGTTCACGACTTACTGCGGGGACCTATGGCCCAGTCCTGCCCAATGTCTCCGCAACTGCAAATCACACACACACACCTGCGCCCCCAGGAGATTTTCTGCTACAAATATATTTTGCAAGTTAGATGCAGCCTCCTTGCTCTCCACTTTTTTCATATTAGCATCACTTTTTTAAAAACTCTCCCAAATGTAACCATTCCACCCTTCCAATTTTTAAAATGCTCATTACACCCCCTTCCTATTCCAATCTGCAGCTTCACCCAGGCAGGTGTTTCCCATCACAGCAAGTGGCCCTGAACCCCAGGACAAGACTCCTCCCGACGGCGGCAGCTACTCTGCAAAGCTTTCCCAGCCTAGGGCACATCCACCACACCCACACCACCCTGGCTATGCCCCTAGACAACTCCTGTCTCCCCCTCATTTCACCTGTCTTCACAGCCCTCGGCCCCGGGTCTGCACCTCCAAAACTGTATCCTTCCCTACTCTCTCTGAACATCTTCCACACCTCCAGCGTCCCCTCCCTGCTAACCATCGCCAGTCCCTCCAAAACCCTAGCCGGCCCCCCACCGTTCCAACCAGTGGCCTCCCTCACAGGAATCCCCTCCCTGCCCCCCGCTTTCCGACTCCCTCAAACCCCGCCCCCAGCGATTACCCCGCCCCTCTACCATTAAGTCCCGCCCCTTGCCCTGGAGGCCCTGCCGGGGGAGGGGCCTATCCCTCCTCCCCTTTTCCCCCGCCCCCTACCGTCACGCTGAGGGGCAGCCTGACCCCGCGCGGCCCTGCGGTGACCCTCGCGCAGAGGCCTGTGGGAGGGGCGTCGCAAGCCCCCGACTTCCCCCCCAGGTCCCCCTCCCGTCCAGTCTCCTCCCCCAGGGAACGCGCGGGGTGGGTGACAGACCTGGCTGCGCGCCACCGCCACCTCGCCTGCCGGGGGCGCTGCCGCTGCCTGGAAAAAAACCCACGGCTGCCGCCTGGAGGAGGTGCCGTCGCCTCCGCCACCGCTGCCGCCGCCGCCAGGGATAGGAGCTAAGCCGCCGCCATTTTGTGTCCCCCTGTTGTTGTCGTTGACATGAATCCGACATGACACTGATTACAGCCCAATGGAGTCTCATTAAACCCGAGACGCGGCCCCGCCTCGGCGCTGCTCCATTGGACGAAACCACAGACACTGAAGGCCACCCGTTGGCCTCCGCATCTGTCCGTCATACATTCACTAACCACTCCGAAGCCCATTGGGGCAACTTCCTGCCGGTCATCTCGCCTCCACATAGACACACCTCTCGACCCATCATCCCCCCTCCGGCACCACCCCAGGGGAGGGTCCACGGCCAGTTCCAATCAACAGCCCGCTGGGCCCGCCTCTTCCGGGCACCTATTGGTCCAGCCCTTTTTCTCGCTCCCAGACACCGCGGCACCTCGACTTCCCCCTCTTCGCCCCTGTGCCTCTACAAATGGATTGGGTCTACGCGCAGCAGAGGCGCTTGGCTCCATTGGCTGCAGGCAACGCCAATCAGGAGCTTTTTCCCTCTCCCCTCCCCCACTCAACCCCAAAGCCCCTAGCCCGCAGCTAAAGTTTGTGTGAGAGCTGATCGCTGGCGGCGGCCGCAGGATTTAGGGGTGGGCGCGTGCGGGCGGGCACGCGAAGTTAAAATTCGAGGTTCTCAGTCGTCAGCTCCCGCGGTGGAGCGCGCGGACGGGCGCGCCGCCCGGAGCGTTCCATCCCGCCCCCTCCTCCACCCTCTCTCCTGTCCCGTCCCGGGCGACTACTCGCCCGCCCCCTGGCTCGCACCCTCCCCCGCACACACACCCCTACCCTGCAAGCCCCAGGCAGGGTGCAGGCGGAACGCCGTCGCTGCAGCCTCCTCGCCATCCCACGCCGAGGGGGAGCGAGCCCCTACCCACCGGGCGTACACCCCCCCGGGCTTCACACTCGCCCGTGTCTGCAAGCACGTGCACCGTTCGCCGCTGCCTCCGGCCACCCCGGTCCCCGGCTAACCTCGCCCGCAGCCCGGCCAATCGCTCGCTGCCCTTTGTTGCTGCAGCCCGGGTCTCCCCGCTGCCTTCCTCAGCCTCCGCCTCGTCCTTTGCCAGCCGCCCGGGTCCGCAGCGCCGCGCTCCCCCCGCCCGGGACCCACCGCCGCCGCCTCCTTCTCCTCCTCCGCCTCCTCCTCCTCCTCGGCTCCGGGCTGCAGCGCACAGAGCCCGAGGCAGCGCCGCCCAGCCCCGCTCCCCCCGCGCCGCCCGCCAGCCCGCCCGGCCCGGCCGGGGGCGCAGCCCGGACCCCGCCCGCCCCAGTCCCCGCCCCGGGGGTACCTGCCTCCGCCCCGGGGGGCTCCGCTCGCCGCCCTCGGGGAGGGCGGGGACGCCGGTGTCCGCGGGAGGATGGGGACGGCTGGGGCGGGGAGTGTGCCCACTGGGGCCGGGAACGAGGTGCGGTCCTCGCCAGCGCGCCCCCCTCCCGCAGCCGTGGGCCCTAAACTTAGTCCTTCGCCCCGGCCTGGTGCCCTCGGGCGATCGCGGCAGTTTTGGGGTTGGGACGCCTCAGGAGCTGTGTCTGCCCTGATCGGGAGCAAGAGGGAGCAGTGACATTCAGCGACTGCGGACAGGGCACGGCGGAGGCATCCCTGGGTGGGAGTGGGGATGTCAGGCGCGGGCTGGCGAGGAGCTGCCCCTCCAGATGCCCTCTCCCAGCCTGCCAGGGGCTGGCGAGCTCGGAGCTGCGTTCTGGGTGTTTCTTGGGCTGTGCAGCTGGATGGCAGGGGCTGGAGGAGGGGGAGATGGCTGGGGGCCCTTCCCCCCTCCTCCTCAAAAACAGCGCTGTGAAGAAGGCTGATGGCGAAGTTCGGTTTTCCAGGCTTCCCCTGGGCCCCCCGAGTTCCTGAGGCCCACAGGAGGGAGGCTGGGGGATCCTCTGGCTGCCCACGCCGGGCCACACTGCGGCCTCCTAGTTCCCTCCAGACTCGAGAGAGTGGCCCTGGCGCCTCCCGTGTGGGTGGGATGCTGAAGGAGGGCACTTAAGAATATGGGAAAGGTAGACTAGAGAAATGGCTCCGAGTTTGGGATAGAAGTTTTCCCTCCCAGGCGCCATTTCTTTGGGAGGGGGAGGAGAACTATGGCTCAGAAAAAAAGCACCAAGTTTCAGGCCTAATGGCCTGGCTGGAAAACCACCTGTTGCCCAAAGTCAGCCCCTGGAGTTCGGGCAGGCTTGGGCGCTGGTGGGGTGGTACAGGGTGCTGGGGGAGGAAGCCCGCGCCTGCCTGCCCCATTGGGCTTCTTGTAGCCCTTAACTCTCCATTAGAAACCACTGAACAACTACCACTAGTAGGTACTTTGTCAGAACAACTTATCTTCGCTCTTATCTCAGACAAACAAAGCAAGCAGCGACAGCCCTGTCCTCAGATGCAGACCACAATCCTCGCTTCACTTTTAAAGATGGTCTGCTACTTTGGGGTGTGAGCTCCCCTACTTAGGCATCTTAGCAGCAAGGTGAGAAGGAGCCTAGACAAAGGGCACAGAGTTGAATGAACGGATAGGAAAAGGGAGAGGGGAGCAGGAGAGGTGTAATCCTACACTCCAAACTGTCACCGGTTCCATTATAAAACCCTTTTATAGGTGTTTTATTACTTGGTTGTTAGTTTTTAAAACACAAACCTCTTTAGATTAAATCTTGGCATTCACAAGCTCGGCCCAGGGAAACCAAACACAGGGAGAGCTCCCATGCTTGGCTACTTTTGAGTTACATTACAGATAAAACAAACAAACAGCAGGTTGGGTTTCCTAAGTCTCTCCCTAACTCTTTCATTTAGATCTTCAGTAGCTTGCTCAAGGTGAATTTTTACAAGCCATTAGTTTATAATTCAATCTAGTTCATTCAGGTATTTCAAAGAGAATGTTTATAAGGTGTGGGTTTGCTTTTTGTTTTTTTTAAATAATGCAGGTGCTGGGATTTTTATTCTCCCTGAAGTGACTAAGTAAACTTAAGAATCCTGGCAAACTCTTTATCCTTTTTTTTTTGTTTTTCCCTTAGGGCCTGCCCACATACACTTTATTTTGTATATTATATTTGAGTCCCTTGGACCAGGTTTTATCTCAAGCAATAAAAATGAACCATATCTTAATTACAAGCAAGTTTTAAGACCCCACATCTGTACACTCTTACATTAAGTACATTAAGGAAGTAACTAAGGATGATAAAAGCCAAAAAATTCACATCTTAGATGTCCTCATGCAGTGAGTTGTGGAGGACTTGGGAGCACCATACTCGCCAGTCTTTCTAAGGAATGAATGTGTTACGCACATGGACCTCCAGTGCTTCAGAAGTGAAGGACTGCCAGGCACAGTGATGCACACCTGTAATCCCAGCACTCAGAAGGCTGAGGCAGCAGTGCTACAAGTTCAAGGCCAGCCAGGGCTACACAGTGAGTTCAAGTCCAGCCTGAACTACTGCTTAGTGAAACCATTTTGGAAAGTAAAAAAAAAAAGTGGAGGGACCTTAGGCAGAAATGAGTCATGGCCGTGGGAGTGCAGCTCAGTGGCAGAGCTGTTTGTCCAAGGTGCTGGGTTTACTCTCCAGCTCCACAAGAAAAAAAAAAAAAAAGCGGGTTATGTTTGCCTAAATCTGTGCCCCTGTCACTCCACAGGTGAACACAGAAGACAGAAATCTCTATCCAGCATGGTGATTGTTTTAAGGCTCTGTTCTTGACAGAGTTAGCTTGCAGAGGTGTGGAGAGACCAGGAATCCAGCCCTCCCTGTAATATTCCCCTCTAGGGTTACTGAGCTTTCAGAAATCTGGCTCTTCAGGTAAGTGGGACTGAAAGGATAAGAGACCTAGCTAGATACTTAATGCTTACTCCTAACCCTCTCTTATCTGTGGGATCTCAGGTCCTCTGCTGAGCAGAATAGCTCAATTAAGGAGCTAACCCAGAAACAGTTTGAACTGAAAACCAAGCACCGTGCAAAGTTCTGAGCTGACTAGGCAAGAGGACCACAAATCCAGAGTTCACCAGGGTGGTGGATTAGCTCAGCACCGGAGAAACCCTGGCCTGGCCTGTCAAGGCCCCCGTGGGTTCAGTTCCCAGCAGCGACAGAGTTCCTCAGGCCTGTTCTCTAACCCCCCAACAGCTGAGGTGGCCAGAAGCACACTGGAAGGACATGAGAAGGAACCCAACCAGCCCCATCAGTAGCTCTGGAACAAGACTTTGAAATCTACATTTCTGACCCATAACTTGTCTTGAAGGTCATGATCCTTAAATCCAAGAACTGCTGGCTCTTCCATAACCAGAGAGCAAGTGTCTTAGCCCATAGGACTATGACTAGGATGATTCCATAGTGTGACCTATTTGTCCTTGAGTCCTGAATAAGGATAAAAAACAGCCAAGAGCAGGAACAGGAGGGAGCCTAAGGCAACAGAGGCTTGATCTTTTAAATTTGTTTACTTGCTCTAAGGCAAGTTAGACAAACTGCCTGATAAGAAGTATCACATTCCCTGGCCCTAGCAAGTCACAGGAAGGAAAGTGGTAAGGCTCAGAGACCCTGAATTTATTTGTCCTGGGCCTAACCCAGGATGAGTGCTATTTATGTTCAATTAGTCACTTCAATAACATTAGTGGGGGGGATGTGGCTCAGTAGTAGAGTTCTTGCCTCCAGTGCACAAGCCTAAATTTAATCCCCAGCACCACAAAAAAGAAAATGATAAATTAGCAGCTCTAAAAAACAACAACAACAAAAAAAAACGAGGTCAGGGATTTAGCTCAGTGGTGTAAGTGCCTGCTTAGCAGGTGTGAGGTTGTGAGTTTGATCCCTGGTACCAAAAACAAATCAAAAACATTAGAGGAGAGATGGCACATACCTGTAATCCCAGGTACTCAAAAGGCTGGTTGGCTGAGGCAGGAGGATTGCCATGAGTTCAAGACTACCCTGGGTTACATACGTTGAATTCAAATATAGCCTGCACTGCATCATAAGACCCTGTCTCAAACAAACAAATACAGTAAAAACAACCTGGGTGTGGGTGGCGCGTGTCTGTAATCTCAGCACATCAGAGGCTGAAGCAGGAGGATTACTGGGAGTTTGAGACTAGTCTGGATTACACAGTTCAAAGCCAGCGTGAAATACACCTTGGAGAGAGGGAGAGAACAGAGACACAGAGATAGACACAGACACAGACTGAACAGGGCTGCAGAGGCAGCACAGTAGCAGAACATCCCTGGGTTCAGCCCTCAATACCAAAGGGAAAATTTTTAAACCCCTTTCCAACTGCCCCTTGGGATCCTCTGCAAACAGTGACAGGAACTGTAACCATGTCTAGCTGCTACTTAGTCCAGGTAGGATAGAGAATGGAGGATGATCAGTCAAACCATTAAAACTTGTTCAAATATCAGTATTCTGCAAACATACCCTGTTTTGTTTTGT